GAATTTTTCCAACATTTTAGGAATCCATTACAGCGATTTTGCTTTAATATTCTTGTATTTATCAAACACAATTATTATACTTTAAGCTTGTAGGAAGCCTGTTAGTAGTTAACTGTTATCCCCTTGTAGTGGAGAGCCTTCACTTACGAAACTTTACGAATTTACCATGACATATTAAGTTGGCGCAACTGCATGCAACTAATGCTTAATATTAAATTAGGATCTAACAAGAGGTGTACCAGAAGATCCCATTTGACGGATGTGATGTGGGTCTTGTTGTATTAAATTTTAGATAGTTTCTAATAAAGATAATGATACTATGATGTAATTTTGAAAATAAATATTAGGTCGATTTTTTCGGTAATCAATTTCTTTTTATGTTCATACTCATTGTTTGTGAACGAATCAGTATGTTTGGCTATATTAATAACAAAAATTTTATATATACAGACTGGCCTAAAAGTCTGGAAATGGCCAATTATCTCGTAAATTACCGGAGATAATTATATAAAATTTCGGGTACACCTATTTTGGGATACGGCGATTCCATATTTGATATTTGCAATGTTGCCAGATTTGCCGTTTTTCTTATATTATTAGTAACTTTGGTTTTTCAAATTCACACCCTGTATATTCACTCATTATTGGAATCTCCTTTTCAATACGAGTTCAACCATACAGATTGAACGAAATAAATTCGAAACATAGGAATATAATGTATTTCGGCTCAATTCTGCTGTAGCTGGTTGGCCAACAAAAGATTGTCAAATAATTATATTATAAAAAATCCCATACTTCAGCGGGCTGCTGGATTCTGAACTCATAAAAACTGAAAGCTACACATAAATCTACGATTTTATTATGCTATCAAACCAGTTATAGTCCAGGAAATGTAGCATTTCACCTCGCAATTTTTTTGTGCGGCGTGGATTGACTTGAAATTTAACAGAAGGTAGGTAATAGCCTAAGGATCAAAATCTATATAGAACCAAAGTGCGCCAAAGCCTAGGGGGTGGTTGCCACCCCATCTCCGGGGTGAAAATTTTTTTTACGTTTTAACTACAGGTTTCGATTAGAAAAGTGATTCTAAACAAAAAATGTGCTATACATTTTTTTATAAAATGATATTTTTCAAGTTATTCGCGATTGAAAGTAACAACTTTAAGACGAAAAAATCCACGTTTTTAATCGATTTTTCGCGAATAACTCGAAAATGTAGCTTTTAAAAAGACAAATACAATTACAAATACAATATCAATGTTCAGCGGTTTTCTTCAAATGCCAAATTTGAAAGATTCAAAGTCAAATATCGGGACAATGATGCATTTTTGGAAGAAAACTCACAAAACCTTTTTTAAAGAGCATAAATAGACCTATCATAAAAAAATAAGGTCAATACCTCATTTTTTACGAAAAAATCGAGGAAAACAACACCCTAATCACCCCCATAATTAAAATCGATCTTCACCCTTCTGCAATTTTCTTTGTAGATGTATTGTTAATACGTCCAAGAAGTTTGACCCATTTAAAATGCTTAGTTTTAGAAAAAGTACAGCTTAAAGCGAGAAACGATTTACAATTTCATATTTTTTACCATTCTTTTTTTAAATATGCCCGAAAATACTGAATATATGAAAAAAATAAAAATTACCAAATTGTAGCTTTTATAATGACTAAAATTATCCTCTATTTAGATTTGTTGTACAATGAATATTTGGCGAGATATAGCCGTTTAAAGCATCGATTTACGATCAAGCACCATCTTTTTCGAGCCCTTTAAACTCACCCCATTTAAAAACCAAGGGTTCCAAAAAGATCCACAGATCCTTGTAGCTATTAAAAACCTCTACAAATCGTTTTTGAAGAAACATCTATCGTTAAAAATTAAAGGAAATACGTTAAAAAAAACCAGTTAATTGTTTTCCGGAAAATTCCATTAGTATAGTACAGTACATTTCGGAGCATAATAATCTACAAAGCCGGTATATTAGCTAGTGGGGCGTTATACATTCGAAATTTTAAGCGTTCTTATTTTGAAATCCCATACAACAGAATAAAACATCTGCTCATATGTCTATGGCTTGGCAATGAAAATATCAGAGCAACAGATTGGGGATGGTTTTCCAAAGATGGTTTGTTATTACCCGTACGCATGAACAAACAACCTGCACCCGATAAATTTTTGAAAATTATTTTTTGCCAATGCAAAAAAGGATGCGGCGTTTCATATGGGTGCAGAAAAGTTGGTTTATACTGTAACTCTACTTGTTCTGGGTGCTCAGGTGAAGGGTGCAATAACAGTCCACCAATAATTGAGGAAGATGATGATGACATAGATCACGATGAAGATGTAATTGATGACGAATAAAATTAATATTATAATTGTTTTACCTATAAATGTAAATATTTTCAACTATTTATGTAAATGTATAAGAATATATGGTGCCTTTTTATGTTGATAATTTTTTTTGTATTTAATTCTACTTTTTTCAATTTATATCTTATAAATTAGTTTATAAAAACTGCAATGTTGTAAAGGGTGATTTTCAAAAGTTAAAAAGTTGCAAAATTTTGGCAAAAAATTGTTTTCACCTATAGCACTCATAACAATTGATTTTTAAGGGTTAGAAAAGTATGAATTTGTATTTTAAAGTATAAAAAACTGACTACTTACCTAATCCAAACCAAATTTCACTCATCTTAGGATTTGTAATATTATTTTACAATTTTTGAAAATTAGGGGTAGTTTTCACCCCTAAGAACAATCAGAATTCATCGGCATGACATAAACTATAAAGCAGAGGGTGAGTTGAGCTTAATTCCAAATTTTTATGCAAGTCGTTCCAAGGTAAAATCATTTTCTTCGCATTACTAATTTTTTTATATTAATCTCTAATGAGGGTCGTTTTTTAAGGGTTGAAATATGATGGAACTTTATTGAAAAGCACGAAACTATCATTATTTAATCAAACCAAATTTTACCCATATTCAGGTTTAATATGTTATTTTATAATTTTTGACAATTAGGGGTAGTTTTCACCCCTAAGAACAATCAGGGTTCGTCGACATGACATAAACTATAAAGCAGAGGGTGAATTGAGCTTAAATCCAAATTTTTATCCAAATCGATCCAAGGCGAAATCATTTTTTTAGAATTAGTAATTTTTTACATTAATCTCTAACAAGGGTTGCTTTTTAAGGGTTGAAATATGATGGAACTCTATTCAAAAGTATAAAATAATCATTATTTAATTAATTCAAACCAAATCTTACCCATATTCAGGTTTAATATGTTATTTTATAATTTTTGACAATTAGGGGTAGTTTTCACCCCTAAAACCCATCAACGCACTTCGGTTGGATATAGATTTTGATCCTTGGGCTATTACCTACCTTCTGCTAAAATTTCAACTGGATACATGCAGGGCGAAAAAATTGCGAGGTTTTAACTTTTTTCGAGCTTCAATTCCTGAACTATTATCGCCTCCTTAGACAAACTCATCTTACGCAAACAACTTTGTTGCGAGACAGATAGTTGAACGATATTTTATACAATGTCTATACCCAGGTATGGATTTATTTTTGTCCAAGTTTTATATTGGTCCACTATTTTAAATGCAGTTCAAACAGACATGTATTAAATTGTATGTTCCGTTTTAATTTGGTTCAATCTGTATGTAACACTTCAACACATGTGATTTTATGTAGTCTGGAAGGTCTTAAATACATAAAACAGAAGTCTGGCAACGCCTAATTGTCTCAATAAATTCTTTAATATCAACTATTTTTAACTACATCAAAACGTAACAATTGATAGATTACACCATTTTTTAACACAATGGTTACTTTATCAAGTGTTTAAAATGTGTTCCATTTGTGAGTTGACAGTACCCTTATCGATGGTAGAATGCGTCTACTGCATTTTTCCATGATTGTCTTGAATTTATTCGAGATTCATAGATTTTTTGTTGCCTTAGTTTTGCAAGACTTGCTGTTTTAGTTTTGTAAACTGAATTTTTCAAGTATCCCCAATAAAACTAATCTTTAGGATTGAAATCAGGTGAACGGGGAGACCATTCAATTCTACCTCGTCTACCGATCCATCGTCCTGGAAATATCTCTTCTAAATAACTCCGAGCATTTACCCCAAAATGAGTTGGAGCTCCATCTTGCCCATATCAAATTAAAATTTGCACCAACAAGTTTATCAGTGTAGGTACAGTTTCATTTCTAAGTAACAAAATGCTTCGATAAAAAATGGCCCAATTACCTGAGTACCTACTATACTGAGCCGAGATCAGACAAATATAACAATACAAAATCATAACATAGAAAATGTTAAACATTAGGTATATCTAGGTCATGTCATCAAACTAGGAAAACCAAATCAAGATGCTGAAATTTAAAGAAGAACATAACTGACATAGGGCGCTTTCGACAAACTAGCATATATTTTGAAAAGCACCTCTATTCCTGTAAACTTACAGAAAAAGATGCATAACACATGTATATTACCAGTTTGTACCTACGCCTTGGAGACAGTAGCGCTGAGATAAGACGTAGAACAAAGATTAGGGATATTGTGGAAGAAATTACAAAAATGAAATGGCGCTGGGCATGTCACGTAGCTCGATATAATGACAACAGGTGGACACGGAGAATTCTAGACCGAAGACCAAGGACGACAACAAGAAGCAAGGGAAGACTTTAAAAAAGATGGGTAGATGACATAAGAGCAGTGACAGGTAAACAGTGGATTAGATTGGCGCAAGATAGAGAAAGATGGAAGCAATTAGGAAAAACCTACATTCAGAAGTGGATGGAAAATGGTTGACAAAGACAAAGAAGACGAAGTTGAAGAGATAATTAGACAAATTCAGATTTTTGGTCCACAAATTTTTGGACAGTTTATCTCATTCATTGTTTCTTCATTTTATATTTTCTTTATTTATTTAATAATTTATTATTTACTTATTAATTTTTTTTTATATTTGTTTCAGATTCCTCTCTGGGGCAGCTGCAGACATGGCATACGTAGCTTGTCCCATGTACGTATCAGAATTTGCCGATGAAAGGATACGAGGTTTTCTATCCGGATTGGTCATGGTATTGGACCACACTGGCTCGCTTATACTCTATGGACTAGGTCCTTTCACTCCTTACTACGTAATACCTTTATTAGCTTTTATATTGATATCCTCCAATATGGTCTTACTCGTTTATTTTGTACCTGAATCTCCATATTTTCTGTTAGACAACAACCGAGTAGAAGAAGCTACTAAGGCTATAAAATTTTTTAAGTCGTATAAAGACACTGAAGAAGAAATTAATCAAATATCTTTAGCCTTGGAACGAAAGAAGTACAACAGTGGTAGCTTTAGACAAATACTTTCGAGCAGATATAACCGCACATCTTTAATGATTATAGTAGCATTAAATTTGATTCCACAACTTTTAGGTTACTCAACTATTGTAATGAATTTACACATAATCCTAGACTCTGCCCAGACTGTTCATATCAACTCGGCTCACGCCGCTATTCTTTATGGTGGAATAATGTGGATAGCTTCCATATTCTGTTCCATATTAGTAGACCGATTTGGAAGAAAATTGTTAATCATTATATCTGCTGTTGTTTCGGGACTTTGTCTATTTGTTTTAGCTTGCTACTTTCACTTACAATATTTAGGATTCAACGTCGTACCCATTAGTTGGTTGCCTATAGCATCAGTTATGACGTATGCTCTCTTTTTCAAAATAGGCATCGGCATCGTTCCTCTCATAGTCACTGCGGAAATAGCACCAGATACTATCAAAGCCTTCGCAGTAGCTCTTGGTGACGGCTTATTTATAGCCGGAGGAATTATCTCAGTCCAACTCTACCAGTTTGTTACAAAGGTGACAGGAATGTTTATCCCGATGTACATATACTTCCTTTGGGCTATTGTCTTGTTAATATTTACCATATTCTACGTACCTGAAACTAAGGGTAAGTCATTGGATGATATACAGAAAATGCTACGAATATCTGCAGCTGAAGATCCTGAGACTGTGAATAACGAGAGATATAGAAGAAGAGGTTCTGGACCTGAAAATGTATCTTTAGGTCATATTTAATGTGATTTTGTATATTGTGATACAAAAATATTATATTGTTTATTATTTTTTATACCAATAAAATAGCGTTTTATTAATTTATACTATATGAGCTCATTTATTTTACAGCTTCTCTATCAGCAATTACGCCAAGTCTATTTCTAGTGCCACATTAGAGTGACATACTAGTAACAAATAAAATTCGTTGTCTTGGAATGTACAATACGACTTCGTAACTTACTTTGTTATATTTTTTTCATTATTATTAAAACACCTCTTAAGAGGTGTATTTTACACTGCAATCTGATCAGAAAGATTAATGAGCTGCTCTGTTGTCCTAAATGAATACTAATAAATCTTAAAACTATAGTTACATTCAATAATGTTTGTACAGGGTCTTTTTTACTTACAGTAATTATTTACACAAGCATTCGTGTACACTAAGCCGCACTATGCTCTGCTTTTAAACTAATTACTACACTAACTTGAACGACTACTCCCCCTTCAGTCTTCTTACTTTTTCTTCTAAGAGTGCCGTCTCCCTACGGAGGTTGACAATCATAACGGCTATTTTTATTTTTGAGCTTGATGCTCTAAATAAATCAATCAATCTGCATTGATACCAATCACGTAGATTCTTCAACCATGAGTACTGCCTTCGGCCAACAGATCTTCTTTCATGAATCTTTCCCTGTATTATATGTCTTAAAATTTCATATTTTGGTCATCTAATCACGTGGACTAGGTATTTAAGTTTTATGGTTTGTATAGTGGTGATTAGTTCTGTTTCTTTAACAACCCGCTCCAGTACGTTTTTATTTGTAATTCTATCATTCTATGATATTTTTAATGATCTGTAACGATAAGACTACCAAAGAGAGTTGAAGTACTATTGTAGAAATAATACCTCAATCAACCATAGAAGTTTATCGTCTATACCTTGCCTAGCTCAGTATCTCAAGGGTGAGTTCGTCTTGTCTTAAACTAGGAAATGAACCTGAGTTCAAAAGCTGATTCTTAGCTGATAGCAAATAAGACAAATTTAAACCAAACATATTTATTAAAAAATACAATAATCAACCCTGCCAAAGCTGAACAAATAATAAGTGGTACTTATTGCTTCGATTGATGGGCTGCTTGTGTGTTCTAGCTGTTAGGTCCTCCAGTTGAGTTAATAAGTTAGTTAGAAAGTAAAAAGTCAATTAGGTCAGGGTTTTTATTCTGATCCGTTGGCCAATAGGTTGGTTTTCCATTCGATACTACTCTACACTTCAACTGCTTGCTTTAATGAGTTCTCTTCCTTTAGTGGTGGTTAATCTTGATCCTAATTTAGTGTAATTCGTGTATCTAGTTTTTCTAGTTTTTCTAAAATAAGGTTTGGGTATTATGACAATGTTTGATGTTCTGTAATTCTGATGTAGTCTGTATTTTTTTCATTGTTATTTGCAGTAATTCGTCATGCAGTTACTTTGAATGTATTGTTGTTTTGCACTGTAATCATTAATTTAAATTTGCTCGAGTTTTTTTAATCCTTGGTTACTTGTTGTGAATGTCCATACAGTATAGGTTATTTCCTTTGCTCGTTTTTAATTTTTTTATGTTCCTTGGCAACTATGCATCCACATCAACTAGCTGAATGACTTCGCTGGAATGAAAACATTTTGAAATAACATTATTTCTTCTTCTTCTACGGCAGTACAGCAAAATTGAGCCTTGGCCTTCTTGGCCTCCATTTTTGCTTGTCTGAGACTGATCTTCTCTATATACGAACTCCTAAAAAGGCTTGTGCTTTGCTGTTTACTGTGTCTTCTCAGCACTTTCTTGGCTTTAAAAACTGGCCTCTTTCGCTGCATTCCAGTATTTAGTGCTCTTTTTCGTAGCCTATCTTCTTCCATTCTTATCACATGTGCGGCCCATTGCAATCTTTGTATTCTAATGAAGTCTGACAAAGGTACTATCTTCTAAAGTTTATAAAGCTCCTTGTTGCATCGAGTTCTAAAGATTCTGTTTTTCCTCACAGGTCATATTATTCCCCTCTGTACTTTTCTTTTGAATATGTCGAGTTTACTTTTGGGTGTTTCTTTCAGAACCCATGCTTCACTGCCATAGTATGATATTGGAGAAACTAAGATTTTATATATTCTTATATTTTTATTTAGGTGGACATCATCTTCTGATTTGTCGGCATATATTTCTATTCTGTCCAACCGTTTCAATGTCATCTTCATGTATGTTTTGTGGCACTATATTTTTTCTCGTCTGTATCAATATATTTGTGGTTTTTGTGTTAATTTCCAGACCTAGATTTTTTTTTGCGTTTTTAACTCTGCGTATGATTCCTGTGCTCCTATTCATATATAATATAACTCATGACTCATAATATAAATATCATCGGCATAAGATGTCAGTTGAACCGTTAGTAGGTTTTCTTGTCCAGTTTGCAATTTTTGTTTTATCACATTCTTTGGTGCTGTGGTTTTCAGTATATCTCACACATCGAGGTTGCTTCACACAATAATTTTGCGTATACCCGTAGGTTTGGCATTTTTTACATTTGAGAATAAATTTATTATTCTTTAGTGAGACAATTTCCGCTCTCATTCCCATAAAATCTGTAATGAAAAACATCTTCGTCTTGTTTAAACGTCAGCATGGGCATGGGTAATGCTTGGTTGGTTTTACATTTTAGTTTGGAGGTAGGTTTTGGTTGTTTGTTGGAGTACTTTGTTTCTATATTCTATCTTGGAGCTGTTAAAATTTTATACCCTCTATTCCTTAAGTATTGCTCTATTTTCTCATTAGAGCAAGAATGATCCTTTTTTTGGCAATACTTTAATGGAGTGATTCTACTTATTCTCTCATATAGCTATGCCATAAAGCTTTCTTCTTCTTCAGATGCAAATCCACTAATGGATGTTAGCGATCACATTTTCCATTAATTCTCTATTTCTTGCAATATGTATCAGAGATTGTATGTCGTTAATCCCTGTCCATTGCCTTATGTTTCGGAGCCAGGACATTTTCTTGCGTCCCATTCCTCTCTTGCCTTCAATTTTACCCTCGATTATAAGTTGGAGGAACTGGTATTTTTCATTTCGCATGATGTGACCTAGATACGCCGTTTTCCTTGTCTTGATGGTTTCGAAAAGTTGGCATTCTTGGTTTATTCTTTTAAGGACATCTATATGTGTGATTTTCGCTGTCCATGGTATTTTTAGGATACGGCGATAAAGCCACATTTCGAAAGCTTCTAATCTGTTTATATCCCTCGTTTTGAGTGTCCAGCCCTCTACGCCATATAGCAGGACTGACCATACGTAGCACTTAGTAAACCTTAGTCTCAGTTGAAGATCAAACTCTGAACAAGTCAGTACTTTCTTGAATTTTACGAAAGCTTGTCGAGCTTGCTCAATGCGACATTTTACTTCCCTGTCTGATGCCCAGTCTTCAAAAAGCCACGATCCCAGGTATTTAAATTTACTCACTCTTTCAATGGACTTTGTATTCAGTGTTATAGTGGAGTTTTCAAGTGCATAAAGCTTTATCTTAAAGTTTTGTTATATACTAAAGTCTTAGTAGGTAAAATTCTTAATACACATAATCTTAATACAAGTAATATGCCTTTTTTAATAAAAAATAACCGTTTATGATTGTGATAAGTTTGTTACAAATAATACGTCGATTATAATCAAGATTAAGTTTTAAAGCTAGTAGATTTTACTTGAATTTAAGCTATTATAAGGTTATTTTACTAAAATGCAGCCGATATACAAGTAAAAAGTCGCCGAAGTGCTTCTAAATCAGCTATAACTTAAAGTTTTTAAAGAAGAAGCGAAAACTATTATGTATTTATTTTGTGTATTATATAAATATATATATATATATATATATATATATATGTATATATATATATATATATATATATATATATATATATATTTAAAGATGCTTGTTTTTAAATTACGTAAGGCATTACGTCTTTACCTAGACATTTCGAAATGAAAATTGAGTGACGCGTTGACAGCTATTATTTTCCATTTTCATAAACGAATACCAAGAAAAACAATAAATCCGCGCTGAAGCAGCTACACTGATAAAATGGAGTCGCAAAACGCTACGGCCTATTGTCTTTTCTGGGAATTCGTTGTTTTGAGCGAGCTCTCACGTATCAAATATTTCCTTCTACCACATCCCTTGTAAATCGAGATGCTATCTGCGAACTTAACACAAAGATATAGGGCGTCACCAAGGAAAACGCGAAGAAACTTGCTTTATTTATCGACACAAGCGATTTTCTTTACAAACGTCAGCACGTTGACTGAAAGCTGAAAGTATGTGACCCCGTCATTTTCAAGGCAATAAAACGACGGATATATTCTGTAAAGTTTTATAACTTTTTAAATATCTAAATAAATGCCTTTGGTAATGTATCAGTTCTAGCAATGTGCTTAAGTGTTTACGTAGTAATTTTTTTTAAAATGTGTTGTTTGGACCAAAAAAAATAGAAAGAATCTAGTATAAAATCTCACCAATATAATATTGTGTGTGTGTGTTTTATTGGCACTGGTTTTGACAACCAACTGGCCAGAATATATCGTCACCCTTTTAAAACGATATATCGTCACCCTAAAGTGCTAGCCTTCTAAGTCCACTTTTAATATAAAATAATATTTTTGCATGGTTGAAAAGCTATTTTGTTTTTTTCCATTACCTGATACGAAAACCTGCTATCTGTAAGAATCTGGATTCGTAAAGGTAAATACTGCTAAGTCCTCGGCCGCACTCCATTTCATGTCTAGACTCGTTACAGCACAATCGCAAATTTTTGTACATTTACATTTTTACACAATGTGAGAGTACATTGAAGAAATACAGATTCAAGTAGCATGATTGAGTACTCAGCAATCAGTAAGGAAAGAAAATAAAAGAAAAACGTTTTCAAGTGCAGGAATCGACTTGGTTTGTACAAAAAAAATAAACGAATACGGGAAATAGGAAAAGGATATTTAGGGAAGAGAAAAAAAGAAGGAAAATGAAACTACGAAGAATTAAGGGAACCTCGTTCTAGGAAACCGAGAGGCTAAGGAGACAAAAAAGGGATA